TTTGACTCTACTTTTACTTACTGAGATGATGAATGCCCTTGGTTGAGTTTAAATCTGCCCTATCCAGTTTGGCTCAGTGGGTAGAGCATCGGCCTGTGGACTGAAGGGACCCGGGTTCGATTCTGGTCAAGGACCTTGGTTGCAGGCATGATCCTCAGCCCTGGTCAGGGTGCGAGCGGGAGGAAACCAATCCACGTGTCTCTTCTATTGATGTTTCCCTCTCTCTGTCTCCCCATTCCTCCCGCTCTCTAAAAATCAATTGAACAATACCCTTGAGTGAGGATTAGCAACAATAAATCTGCCCCATTGTTCTAAGCTGTGTCAATGTTAGGGCTGTGCTAGGATTTGCTGGACCAGCCCCCTGTCCCTCTTGATTGGTGTTTTGCTGTGTCTAAGTTTTCACTGTCACAAATGCCCTGGATGAGTGAGTGAGTGTGTGTGTGTGTGTGTGTGTGTGTGTGTGTGTGTGTGTGTGTAGGAGGGGTAGGGGACATGGGGGAGGGGCAGTGCTTGTCTTTCTAAGTGTCATGTCCTGAGAGGAGCTGGGACCTGGCCTGGAGAGGACCCTTTTCTCCTTGGAACAAATGGCTTCCTTTAAGGAAGGTGCTTTTCCAGAAACATGTTATTTCAGGGCCTCCTGACTCCAGAACGCACCTTGTCCCAGAGACACGCCGCCCTCCCTGAGGCCGGATGTGGGCAAAGAGCAGCGGGTGAGCTCCTCCCACAGCTGGGCTTTGCAGGTCTCCCCTCCCAGACATCCTCCTGACAGGGTAGGACAGGGAAACTGAGGCCCAGCAAGTCCGTGGTGGGTGGGGCTTGGACAGCGCTGGGTAGAGCACAGCAGGGGTGCGGCTGGGAGGGAAGCCCAGAAGGTGAGGGAGACCTTGGAGGGAAGCCCAGGAGGTGAGGGGAGAGCTGGGAGGGGAGCCCAGGAGGTGAGGGAGAGCTGGGAGGGGAGCCCAGGAGGTGAGGGGAGAGCTGGGAGGGGAGCCCAGGAGGTGAGGGGAGAGCTGGGAGGGGAGCCCAGGAGGTGAGGGGTGATCTGGGAGGGAAGCCCAGGAGGTGAGGGGTGATCTGGGAGGGAAGCCCAGGAGATGAGGGGTGTGGCTGGGAGAAGAGCCCAGGAGGTGAGGGGAAGCAGGCCTGTGCATGGAGAGGGCAATGGCATCTGCGGAGAGAAGCCTTGGGAGGCCCGCAGGCCAGCTCAGGGCTCCGGCCATCAGCCTGGAAGTCCCCCTCACCAGGTGTTATCTGGGGTGAGGTGTGGGCTGCCTGTTGGATCTGTGTATGGCAGAGATCCTCTCTTCCACAAAGTCCGAGTTGATGGTAGGGGCAGATGTGAGCAGGGCTTCTGTCCAGGGAAACCCAGAGCAAACCAATCCCAGGGGCTTGGCCGTTTGTCCTGAAGACATTCAGCGCTCACCTCCCGGCTTCCCTCCCAGCCACCCCTCCACGAGGGTGCCCTGAGCAGACCCTGTGCGGAGGGCAGGCCCCTGGGGCGGCACTGCTGGAGGCACTGGCCCAGGCACCTCAGAGAGGGCGGTCTGGGGGTGAGGGCGGCTCTGGGGGTGAGGCTGCTGTGAGCACCTGGAGGGGAGACACAGAAAGCACAGTGCCTGAGCAGCTGGCGGCCGAGGAACAGGAACCAGTCACAGCAGAGGGAACAGAGGAGCCTGGGTTAGGACTGGGCAGCCTGGGCTCACGGTGGCTCTGCCCAGATTTCCAGGGTGACCGGGAGCGACCCCTTCCCTCGCTGCCACCAGATAAGAACACTCCGGGCTCTGCTAGGTTCCGGTGCCCACCCAAGTCCCTGTCCCTGCACTGCCGCCTCCCTCTCCTGGGCAGAGAGGGGCTTCTGGCTGGCCTGCCCCAGACACAAGGGGCTGCATTTTGAATGGCAGGGGCATTTTGGCCAACACACATCACAGCATACACACACCGCACAACATGCACACTCACACACCAAGCACCCACATACCACACATGCGTACACACACACCATATACATCACACTCACACCACACACATACCCCACACTCATCCTCACGCCCACACCCACCCACTCCGCACACGTAACAGAAGCAGGATGTTGGAACTGCTCACCCCTTCTCTGCTCACCCTCCCAGCCTCTCCTCGCCCCGCCCCTCCCATGCCCACCTCTGAGCAGGTGGGGAAAACAGACCACCTGGCATGACACCTTCACCTCCCTCTCCCCCCATCCCCCACTCCCCCCACACACGCTTGCAAGCAGCCTTTGCCTGTATCCCAACTCCCTTCCCGCAGCGTTCCCAACCCCATCCAGGCTGCCCCGTCCGCCTGCTCGCTCCAGGCCTCCCTCCCCAGGGGCCGCTTCCCAGGGTCTCTTCCTCGCCCATCTCTCTCTGATCCTTCTCCTTTGGGCCTCACAGGGCTCGACCTCCCCCCCTTATTAAAATAATAATAATGAACTCCCCCTCAGTGCAGTGCCTCTCACCACACACATCACTCTCCTTCCTTTCAAATGGCCTCCGACCTCGACCTTTCCTCCCTCAGCTCCCACCGACCCCACTGCCCGCGCGCGCGCGCGCACACACACACACACACACACACACGCCCCCACATGCACACGCCTATCCGAGCACACCACGGCAGGGCTGCTCCTTCCCTCACTGTTCTCACCAAGGTCACTGCCAACTGTCATGTTGCAAAACCCAAGGTCTCTTCTCTGCGCTCGCCTTTGCTGATGCTTCCCTCCAGTTGCACACACCCCGCCCCCCCATCCTGCCCAGAGAACCACCTTCGCCTTTGCAGGGTTGCCGGGTAAAATATCGGCCCCAGTTACGTTAGAATCTCAGACAACAAATGTTTCATGTAAGTATAATATGTCCCACATATTACAGGGGACGTTATTTATACTGGAAATTGTTTGCTGCCTGGGATAAAAATGAACTGGATGTCCTGTATTTTTATTCGCTAAATCGGACAACCCTATTCCCTGCTTCTTTGCCCCCACCCCCCCTCCCAGCTCCCTACCTTCTTGTCTTCTCCAGCTGCTCCTCCTTTTGTCAGCTGCCCAGGTGCTGGCCCTCACTGCCCCTTCTCCAGCTGCCCACTCTCCTGGGGCAGGGCTTGCAGACGGCCCCTCACCTGCAGAGTGAGGCCAAGACCTCCACCCCCTCCCATTGCACTGCTTTCTGAGTGACAGGTGTGACTCCAGCCGACAGGCCCCGCCCTCCACTGACCAGGGCGGTTGTGTGCACACAGTACAGGGACAGAGCCATGGGTCCGGGGTCCTAATATTGGGTCCAGCTGAAGGACGGCTGGCCTGGAGCAGGGCCGGCTCTGTCTGAGCTCAGAGAGCACCGGAGGCCGACTCTTTTCATCCCTGGCAGATCTTGCACCACCGTCTCTGCCCACAGGGAGCTCTTGTTTCCAGGCTTTTCTTTGTGCTGGACACGCTCACTCATCTCTGACTGATCTGGTGCCTCTGAGAACAGGCCCCTGCTGAGTTCCTGTGGAGATGCACCGACCAGGAAGGACTCCAGGCCAGCCTCAGCCACAGAGTTAACCCTGGCCGGGAGGGGCAGCTCTCAGAGGAGGAGCAAAGGTGGGGAATATTAAGGGCCTACATCACAACTTGACCTCTATCCAGTTTGCTCCCTCCTTCTTCCCCTCTCAGACATTGGTTCCCTGTAACATCTTGCATCCCAAACTTCGTCTCGGTCCCTTTCAGAGAACACGACCTACAGCAGTTCCCTTCACTCGGCCCTCAGCTCCTCCCTGCAGCCAGCTCCCTTCCGCATGCATCTAGGAAGGCCCTGCTCGGGAGCTCTAGGTCCAAAGTGACCAAGACATGGTCCCCAGGGGTTGTGCCCCTCGCCTCCCCCTGCTCACCCACTCCATCCCTCTGCACAGTCCTGTCTCTATCCCTGGCCCCGCACCCCCTGAGCCTCTGCAGCCCCGGCCTCTCTCTCCAAGGCCTTCCCTGGCAGCCACATGGCCACGGTGGCCGGTCTGGGCACACTCAGAGGCCAGAGCCCGCTCAGGGCCAGTCCTGAATAGAGCAGGCTAGCCAGGAGACTCGGAATTCTGTACCTTCCAAACTATACTCTACATATGGCACAGCTTTTATTTCGTGGGTACAGAGAAAACAGATTTTCCGTGAAAAAGATCTGAGCCGTTCTTTGTGATGGAACAAGAGCTCTGCTATGCCCTCGGTGTAACATTTTCACTTATCTGGCACTGGCATTGTCTTTGAGTTCCCGATTCTCTGTCATTCCGGGCTCAAATCGCTCACATTCTCTATGGATAGAAGGGGCCAGTGAGAAAAGAGTAAGAAAGTCTCTTTCAAAGTATGTTTCAAAGTCTTCTTTCTGGCTCTCCTGTTGGCAAACCTCTCACACTTTCTGTGACTCTGGTTTTCTCCTCTGCTTCCTTTGGTGGATTTCCAGCCCCGACTCTTGGGAGACCCATAAAAGGATACACCTCCTCAATCATAAAACAAATCGCTTGCTGCCCGTTGGTTTCAGCACGTCAGGGCTGATTTCAGGCCACTGGCAGGGGCTGGCCTCTGGCTTGCGCTCTGTGAGATCCGCACATGCAGTGGGCAAACGGGCCCAGGGAGGGGAGCAGGCAAGACGTGTCTTGTAAAAAGCGTCCACTGGAGGGCGCAGCCTCCTCTGGTGGCAATAGAGCCGGCTTGTAGGCATCCTGGGACAAACCTGAGTGAACGGGATCTGCTGCCGATAAATTCCAGCTCCCCTGCGGATGAGAAGAGCTGGCCCACCGAGGTCGGAGTCCAGGGAGCTCCTGGGGGTCAGGGCGGACTCCCCCTGGTCCCATCAGGGTGGATCTCCGGGGCTGGAGGGCATAGCAGCCTGGGATGGGATGCGCCAGGGAGACTGCTGGGCTCGGGCAGGGGAGGGCAGGAATGCCAGTCTTGGGGGAGTGGGACATCGGGAAGGCTGGCTGGGGGCTGAGTCTGACGCAGCAGCTGGGCACATCCTGGGGGCTGCCGGGCCTCACATGAAGGTCCAGAAGTCCCGGGCGCCCGCCACGGCCTGGCCGTGGCGGCCCGGCCCCGTGAAGAGAGAAGCCTCCTGGCGAAACGTGGCCACCGTGAAGCTGCGGCCGGGCCCGCCCTGGGGGTCCGGGGCCTTCGCGTCGCAGCTGAAGCAGCAGAGGATGCAGGTGATGGCCACGGTGATCACGAACAGCACGGCCACCATGCCGATCACCACCGTCTCCATGGCCCCGCCTGGCAGCCGGCGCACCAGCGACCCTGGGTGCAGCCTGAAGCCTCAGCTCCCCATCCGAAGCGGATGGCTCTGGGTGGCTCTTCCAGCGGGTCCCTGCGGTTTTCTAAGAAGATACCGGGGCGGGGTCCTGGGTCGTGCCCCCTCGAGGCGACTGGCAGGGGCTGGCCTCGGGCTTGCGCTCTGTGAGATCCATGGCACTGCTCCGGCCTCGGTCACTGTGTCCTCCGTCTGGCCCGGCTTCTGGGAGCCCTGGTCAGCTCCACCGGCCGTCTCTGGAAGGAATGGGGACCCGAGAGATGTGCGCTCCGTCTCCGGAGCTCGGAGGAGCTGGGAGGAGGGGGCGGAAGGCTGCTCCCGGGGAGCCTTGCCAACCGGGGCCTCTGGCGACGCCTGCGGGTTTCAGGAGAGTCTGTGCGCTCAGACAAAAGACAGAAGACGCCCCGTGCTGTGGATCCGGCATGAGCCGGGCTCCTCCCCTGGAGGAACCGTGGGCCGGTCCTTGAATCAGCCTATTCGCTGCCCCCCCGAGCCCCGGGCCTGTGCTGGGGCAGGGACACAGGTGGACAGAAGGCAATGCCAACCCTGGACACCGGGGGAAGGGGGAGGGCGGGGGGGGGGGCGTCTGTGAGTCCGTGGGGCTGGGGGCAGGGCTGTGGGGGAGGCCTGTTTCGTGTGGCCTCCATTTCTGCATTAGTTCGGAGGGTGTTTAGATAAGGCCGGACATGTGGCCTTTGTCCTACTGCTCCCCAGAGAGCCCGCTGCTGTGCCGGCCCCAGCCCTCTGGCCGCCCGCTCGCCCGCTGCCGCCCTCAGAGGCTGTGAGCGCTTACCCTGGGCTCGTCTGGAACAACAGCTCTGACTGTGTGTGGTCCCATGGTCTCCGGCCCAGCCGCCACCCCAGGAGCTGGGTCACAGCACGCCCAACCCTGGGGCTGCCGCTCCGGGCCGGCAGGGACAGGGCTCCAAGATGTCTGAGTGGCTGAGAGCACTTCCCGAATGCCTTCCTGCCTCTGAGTGAGGGCCCAGGACTTCCTGCCTGCCTTCCCCCAGTGGGGAGTGGAGGCCCAGGGCCTGCACAGCTGCCTGTCGCCCTTGGTGACTGCACTCACCCCACCACCCATGCACACTCAGGCCATTCCAGTCCTGCCCCAGGTTCTCCGCTTCACTGGGTGGGGGCGAGCCAGGCCAGGCCACGGAGGAGTCTGACAATCACTCCGTCACAGCCCTTTCTCAGCCAGCACCTCCTGAGGCCACCGCATCTAAAAAGGAGACGGGGCTGAAACCGGTTTTGCTCAGCGAATAGAGCGTCAGCCTGCGGACTGAAGGGTCCCAGGTTCAATTCTGGTCAAGGGCATGTACCTTGGTTGCGGGCACATCTCCAGTGTGGGTGTGCAAGAGGCAGCTGATCAATGTTTCTAACTCTCTACCCTCTCCTTTCCTCTCTGAAAAAAAATCAATACAATATATATTTTTTAATAAAAAATAAATAAAAAGGAGATAGGGTTATTGGCCCCTCTTTACCCAAACTCTGAGCAGTAGAGTAGTGAGAAACAGTAATTCCAGGCAGAGGACACAGCCAGGCATTCGCTCACATAATTGGACCAGCAGCTCTGTGAGGTGGTTTCCTCTCCCTTTTACAGAGTCAGATGCTGGTGAGCAGAGGTTACAGCACACCAGTGGCCTGCTGCCAATTTGTAGTGATGACAAGAGCACCAAATGGCCGAAGAGGGGCTCCCTGGCCTTCCCTCCTAGTTCAATGCTCTTTCTGTTAGGGGCATAAATAGAATAGTGGGGACTGGCTACAGTTATCCTATCTAATAAAGAGGGAACATGCTAATTGACCATCATGCCCTCACAAAGATAGCGGTGTCCACAGCCAATACGAAAGGAATATGCTAATTGACTGTCACATCCTCAGATGGTGGCACCCACAACCACAAGATGGCGGTGCCCAGTCCCCTCAGCTCCGCTCGGGTGGCAGGTGTGCAGCACAGTGGGTCTTCCCCCAGGCAGGTCCGGCTGCTCCGAGCACCTACCTCCAGAGTCCCCCAGTCCCTTCAGTCCCCCAGCCACCCAGGGCCAGTCCTCGGCACAGGCAAGCTTCAGATGGCAGCTGCCCAGACGCCCGGGGCTGCCCAAGGCTCAGGTAACCAGGGCAGCCCAAGGCTTGTGCTGCCGGCAGTGGCAGCAGCAGAGTTGTGATGGGGCATCCCCTTCCCCTGATCACTGGGTCGCCTCCCGCCCCTGAGGGCTCCCAGATGGTGAGAGGGGGCAGGCTTGGCTGAGGGACACCCACCTCCAATGCATGAATTTCCATGCCCTGGGCCTCTTGTAAGAAATATGAATCATGCTCTGTTTACCATGATATTCTGTTCTGATTAGAGAAAGCACATTACAACCTGGCTGAGAGTTGTATGCCCTGGGACATGGGAGCTGACACAGAAATGCAGGCCATCCTCCTTTCCTGGGAACTGCCTGTTGCTATGGAGAGACTATGGCTGAAACAATCCAGTCCTGGAGGCACCTGCCCTATGCATCCCCAGCCCTCTTGCCTGTAACCATTCTACTTTGCCTACTTTCCCGTGCCTGTAATTCTTATTTTCTCACGTAATCTTGCCCTTCTATCCAATATAAGCAGCTGGTTTATGGGGAGAGGCAGAGCAAATTTTTGTGGATGACCTGCTGCTCTCCCATCCTGGAATAAACACAATACAACTCAACAGTGTCTCTGCTTAATTGGTTCAAGTAGCGACAGGCAGCCCAGACCCATTGATTGTCCGGTTACATTTCCTCAGAGCAGTCCCCTCATTCTCCAGTTTTACTGATCAGAGTATGGAGGCTCAGAGAGGGCTGAGGGCTAGCCCAAGGTCACCCAGCCCAGGTCCTTTTTCATTTCACCAAGGCCCCAGTAAGCTTTCTTTAGTAACAGCTAAAGTACTGCCTACACATAGAATGGGAGAGTGTCTGCTGGGAGCACAATACCCTGTCAAATTCTCACTCTTCTTTGCCGAAACCAGTTTGGCTCAATGGATAGAGTGTTGGCCTGCAGACTGAAAGGTCCCAGGTTCGATTCCGGTCGAAGGGCATGTGCCTTGGTTACTGGCACATCCCCAGTAGGGGGTGTGCAAGAGGCAGCTGATCGATGACTCTCTCTCATCGATGTTTCTAACTCTCTATCCCTCTCTCTTCCTCTCTGTAAAAAATCAATAAAATATATATTTTTTTAAAAAATTCTCACTCTTCCCTTTTCTAAGATGATTGAACAAACCTGGGCATGGGGCTGCCCCTCCGAGAGGGCAGAGGAGGAGCACGGAGCAAGCCAGGGCCGTGCCTGGAAGCTGGACACCTGGAATGACTTGCGTTAACTGGGACAACCAGAGAGAAGGAAATATGAGGAGCCAATCTGGTGCTGGTGGCTTCAGATTGAATAACCAAGATCTACTAGTCAGTTCAGGAAATAGAGGGTACCAGGCAGATCCGGTTTCAAGCTGGGTTACTTGTTCCTTTGACTTCTCCTTTGCCTGTTCTTTGTGGGTGAATGGAGCTGGAGACCACCAGCTCTGGTAAGTGTGCGTTATTCAGCATTTTAAAAACTAGCCCCTCTTACCGAAACCGGTTTGGCTCAGTGGATAGAGTGTCGGCCTGCGGACTAAAAGGTCCCAGGTTCGATTCCGGTCAAGGGCATGTACCTTGGTTGCGGGCACATCCCCAGTGAGGGGTGTGCAAGAGGCAGCTGATCGATGATTCTCTCTTGTCGATGCTTCTAACTCTCTATCCCTCTCTCTTCCTCTCTGTAAAAAAAATCAATAAAATATATTTAAAAACAAAACAAAACAAAACAAAACAAAAAAACAACTAGCCCTGCTGACGTGGCTCAGTGATTCAGAGTCAACATAGGAACCAGAAGGTCATGATTCAATTCCCATTCAGGGCATATGCCTGGTTGCAGGCTTGATCCCTGATAGGGGGCATGTAGGAGGCAGCTGATCAATGATTCTCTCTTATCATTGATGTTTCTATCTCTCTCCCCTTCCCTCCCTTCCTCTCTGAAATTAATAAAAATTAAACTAAAGTTGAATAAAGCACAAGGGTTCAGGCCTCTTACCTTCTGCCTTGTATCGATTTCCTTTCTGTTGCTGAGGTTTGGGGACCCTCCTTGGATTCACCTGTAAAATAGGCCGTCTGGTCCATCCTCGAAACAGGCAATCAGTAATTGTGGCATAATGAGAGGGACCCCAGTTACACTGTGAGGACAGCACAGTCTGCTTTGAAGGTTCTTAGCAGTCTTCATGGACCTCACACTGGCAATCTGCAACACGGAATGACCAATGCGGCATCTCAAGCACAGAGCAAAAAAAAACACACCAAAAAACACAACAACAAAAACCACGGATAAAGATGGACCAAGTTCAGCACCTCCTGCAGGAATGGGGTTTCTGGAGGTCCCAGAGCTTATCTGCCCTCGAGATGGGCTGCAAGGAGGTGGCGCTCAGGAGGCCAGCCAGGGCAGCCTCAGCCTCCTCCCAGCTCAGTACCCTCTCCCCCAACCATCCTCAACAGTCTCTTCCCGATTATCAGCATTATCAGGAGAGCTGAGGAGAGCAAGGCAGCATCAACCTTTGCCCACAATTCAGAGATGTTTGTCCTAAGGGTATTTTCCACCCCATTTCTTAGAGTCCTGTCTTTCGTAGCCCTGGGCTGCAGATGCCAAAAGATGTCTAACACTTATAGACACGAAGGTGTCCTCCAGCATCCTCTTCATCCAGTGACCGGAAAGAGACCACTTATATTTATGAGGGGAAAGGTGATGCAGGCGCCCTGCCATAAAGAACTGGCGTGGGCTCTGCAGAGAGGAGGGGAGACGGCCAGAGGGCTACAGCCTCCACCCATTAAATGTTTCCTGCCTTTCAGACCCCACCCCCACCCCCAAACCTAGGGAGGTGGAGCAGGAGCCTCCTGGGAGGCCCCAGGAGCCCAGAGACCTAACCCCGCAGGGCCCTGTGCTCTACTTGGTGTCCCTCAGGCCCCACTCCCACTCATGTTTACTTTTCCAGAGTCTCCAGGGGAGAATCCTTCCTGAGGATCTGCTGGGTGGGCCAGTTCTGTGCTGGGGGCAGGGAGCCCTCAGAGAGTTCTCAGCTCTATGAGGGCAGAGGGCCCTTGAATCCTGCCATAAATCTCTGGGAAGAGAGATAAAGTGTGGTCAGTGCTCCAAAATAAATACAACAACAACAACAACAATAATAATAATAATAATAATAATAAATAGTAATAAAGTTGGGAACCCCTGGGAGAGCTTCTTCTTGGACAAAGACACAGAGAGGGTAAAGTTCAGGGTGTTTGGGGGGGTTGAGACTGGAGCAGTGTGAATGGAACAAAAGAGCAAGGGGCCTTGAATGGCCAACCAAGAGGCAGAGACTTCATCCCAAGGGCAATGAGGAGTTTCAGCCATTCCCTCAGGCTGTCTCATGGAGATGCTTCAGAAAGCGGCAGGCCTGGACCCAGGCTGGGCAGGGGGATGAGCCAGGGTGGGCACTGGGGTGGGGGAGGGGAGGCAGACTGGAAGGACACTGCACGGATAAAACCAACACATGGAAACACAGGGCCCACTTTCCCATCCCAGAAACCTAGTGTGACTGTCCGTGTGAATCTGCCTCCCTCGCCCCCGTACCCCCAACCCAAGCACTCACAGAGAATCCACAGGGAAACAGAAAAGAAACAGGACGTTCTGTTCAGTTCTGTCCCCGTGAGTCAGCAGGCCCTTGGCTCTCAGGCCCCTCCCCACGCCCCCAGGCCTCTCCCCCTTCGCTTCCCACCCGGCCGCAGGCCCAGGCTGCAGGCGGGAACAGGATTTCCTCCGCCCGTGGAACTCTGCCAGCTGCTCCCGGGATGTTGGGAACTCGCCTCCGGCTTTGGCCGGGCGGCTGCTGTCCGTCCCACTTCAGGGAGGAGGAAACTGAGACCCCAGCAGGCACGCACTCCCCAAGGCCACCCAGCACCACAGCCCCAGGTTAAAGAAGTTCCCCCCACCCCCAGCCCCATGGCCACACACAGGCTGGCTGGCTGGAGACTCAGGCCTGGATAAGAAACCCTGACCCAGTTACCAAGGAAACACTGAATTCGATACAGACCGTGGGAGGGGCTCTGCGGGTCCCCGAGCTCAGTCTGCCCTGAAAATGGGCTGGAAAGAGCCCCGTAGGTAGAACCCTGGCCCAGCCTGGTGGCTCGGCCCTCCTCTTTCTGAGGCCCCGGACTCTCCCACAGAGCCCCCCTGGCACACAGACAGCCCCCTCTGTGTGTGTGTGTGTGTGTGTGTGTGTGTGTGTGTGTGTATGTGTGTGGTTTTTGGGGGGTTTCTTTTGGGGGGAGGGTCTTGTAAATCCTCACCTGAGGCTATTTTTCCTTGATTTTTAGAGAGAGTGGGAGGGATGGGAGAGACAGAGAGAGAGAGAAACGTTGATGTGAGAGAGCTATCGATGGGTTGCCTCCTGCACATGCCCTGACCAAGGCCAGGGATCGAGCTTGCAGCTGAGGTACGTGCCCTCAACCGGAATCAAACCTCATCCTTCCATACACAGTCCGAAGCTCTACCCACTAAGCAAACCAGCAAGGGTAAAAGCCCCCTCTGGACAGGGCTGCACCCAGGCCTTAGTCCTCCTCAGAACTCGGGCCCCATGCCTTTCTCACCTACAGTCCACCAGGCCTGCAGCGCCCACCCAGTTCCCCCACTCACAGCCAGCCCTCAGACCCCCGCCAGCGACCACCCCCCCAGACTCTCACTTCCCGTCAGAGGGAAGTCCCAGGGCAACGCAGACTCAGGCCTGGCTGCTCCCTCCCTCCCACTTGAGCTGTAATCAAGAGCCTCTTCACAAAGCTTCTTTGTGGTTTTCGTTTTTATTTTTGTATTAAGTCTCCCGTGAATTAACTGTGCAGCCTCATTACTGCCTTGTCCAAATGAAAGGGCATTGCCAGGGCCCCTCCCAGCTAACCCCCACTCCCCACCCCCAAGCCAGCGGGGGGGGGGGGGTGATGTCAGAGGGGAGCACTTCAGAGGGAGCACGGCACATCTTCCAGGCATCCGCGTGCCCCGGTGCGCTGCAGGTGCCCGCTGGCAGTTACAGTCGCAAGGTGGCGTCCATCCCCCAAAGGTCACCCCTGCTCTCACCCTCCTCGCCCTGCAGCGCGAGCAGGGCCGCCCCGGCTGCTCCTCCGTCCTGTCCCCCGCTCCACAGCTCCCTGGGGCGCCGTATGCAAACGAAGCCCACGCAGGACCGTGCCCTTCTGCACCGGAACATGGGGTCCACTCCTCCTGGCGGCGGGAGCACAGGCAGGGGCCGCCCTCCACGGGCGTCAGCGGCGGCCTCGGTGGGTGTGGAGGTAGGTCTGGTGGGGGCGGTGGTGGTGCAGATGCTGGTGGTGCAGCCCCGCGTGGTGCATGTGAGGCGCGTGGCCGGGGTGGCCGGGGTGGTGGGGGTGGTGGTGGAAGTGTCCCAGGCGGCCCCGGGCCGGGAAGAACCACGGCCGGGTCTGCCGCACGCGGTTTCTCCTGACGGCCGGACGGTTCATCTCCACGTCGTGGTCCTGCTGTCCGCCGTGCAGGCAGGCGGCCAGCACCAGCACCAGCAGCAGAAGGGCCAGGGCGGCGCCTGTGATCACGCCCGCGAGAGCCGTGCCCCCCAGGAGCCCGAGCATCTGGGAGCTGGAGAGTCCCCTCTGCTCAGTGGCTCCTGCTGCTTCCTCCCCTCCGGCGGCCTCTGCTCAGCCCTCCCAGCCGCTGAACTTTGTTGTCTCAGTTCCTGGGGGCTGGACAGCAGCCAGGGAATGTGGACTCGGCCTCTTTGGGCTGGAGCTGCAGGCCAGGGCGAGGCCAGGCAACTGTTAACTCTGACAGGAGGCTGGGTGAGGACAGAGGGGAGGGCTGTGGAGGGAAGAGCCCTGAGCCTGCAGATAAGAGGCCTAGGCCCCCATCCCTGCTGCCTGGTCAAGGGCCCAGGCCTGCACTTGCCCCTCCCTGGGCCTCAGCGCCTCCCTCTTTTAGACACAATAAAGAGCAGGGGCTAAGAACAGGGTTCTGGAACCTACACAACTCGCTAGCTCTGTGACCGCCCAAGTTGCCTGTCCTCTCTGTGCCTCTTTTCTTCATCTGTAAAATGGCTAATAAGAGCTTCTTTCCTCTTAGGATTTCCTGAGGACTCAGGAGTTAAGATATATAAAGCACTTAAACCAGTTCCTAACGCGTGTGCCATCAATATTATTGTGAAACCAGACAGCAAATGGTTCAGGGTTTCCGGTCACTGCTTGAACGAACCGATTACGCAGAGACAGGGTTGAATCATACAGGAGTGTTTATTCCAATAATGTCAGCAATATGGAGGGCGGCAGTCAACAAAAATCTGCTTGAGCACTTCCTACTAGCTGGCTTAACGAGGGACCAGGAAGAAAGGCTGCATGCAGGGGGAGCAGAGGGGTGGCTGCAGGGTCTGTGATCCTGTGTCTCTTTCTGGGATCTTGGCGTTTCAGGGGTGTTAAAACCCGGCGTGGCCAGCTCCTGGAACCTGGGAATGGTCAGCATTCCTGAGGCAAACTCCTGGAGGGGGTCAGGGTCTCGGCACACACCCACCAAATCAGAGAGTCCTGTCCTCTGTTCTCAAAATGCATGTTCTTTTTTGAGCAATGAACTCATCCAGGTGTCTCTTCTCTTTTTGCAGCTGTTTTTCTTCTAGAGGACATCCTCCAAGGTCTGTAAGAAAACTTCTTATCTAGAGTTCGTAAAGTCAATAATCATTAAACAGCTGTGGCCCTATTCTTATTGTGTGCTCTGCCCTCTACCACTATCCACCCCCCATCAAGATTTTCATCTCATATCTATGAGATTAGTTTTCTATGGAAAGGGTCTTGCTGCTGAATTGTATTATTCCTGGACTATTATATTTTCCCCTTATGGATTTTTGGCTCTGAACTCTTTCAGGGAAAAGGGGCCTTGGTCTCTTCTATCACTGCTTCCTGCTGGTGAGGGCAGGGCCCTGAAGTCCCCCCTGTCTGACAAAGGAAAGGGGAAGCCAAAAGGGGGAAAGTAGTTTTAACTGAAGCCAATAGTAGACGTCCATGTTTCATTGACTCAGTTAGTCTACAAACCGTTTTGAGTCTTACTTTTAGGACACAATGATGCAGATGGCTTCTCCAGTGAGACCTAGACTGTGTGAGCAAGGAATCAGGTAAATTTAGGCATACGTTCTATGAAAACAGAAGCAAACAAAACACGAAGGTTAGTGCCTACAGTAAATCATAAACAGCAAGATTTTCAGATACAAGGCTTTCCCTGGAATGAAATCATACAGTGATAATCTGATAGATTGTCTGTGGTTAGAACATTTCTGGTGATGTCATCAGGGCTGAGGCCTGTATGACATACACAGACACAGCCTTTTAAAAAGAAAACTTTTGCCAAAACCAGTTTGGCTCAGTGGATAGAGCGTCAGCCTACAGACTGGGAGGTCCCACGTTTGATTCCGGTCAAGGGCATGTACCTTGGTTGCGGGCACATCCCCAGTTGGGGGTGTGTAAGAGGCAGCTGATTAATGATTCTCTCTCTTCAATGTTTCTAACACTCTATCCCTTTCTCTTCCTCTTTGTAAAAAATCAATAAAATATATTTAAAAAAATAAAACTTTGAAGAGAGTTAATTGTACGGGAATCTAATACCCACAATTAGACATTGTGGTTTCAATCAAAGCACCGTTTTTCTCCCTAAGCACAGTTTTTTTCAGAGATTATATCAAGTCTAGTTTTTTGTTTGCTATATTTGCGTAAACACAACAAGAGTAGTAATTGATCAAATTGATCACACAGGCTTTCTTGAATTTGCTTTGCTGGAATTTCATTGACTTATAAGGAATCTTAGATTGAACTCTAGTGAGCTGAAGGCCCCTCAGGGCAGAGAAGCCAAAGCCATGGGTTTCCTGGAATAACTGTATGTCCTCAAGTCCTTGAGGTCCCAAAGGTGTCTTGAGGTTCCTCCTGGCCATCTTTCAGGAAAGCACTTACTCAGAAAGACTGCCCTGAACCATGTGACCAAGCAACATACCAGGCTATTTCTCCAAGGGCTTATCCCTTCAAAGTCAATCTTCATTCCTGAAAACTTTCTGGTGACATCCAGAGTCCTGGAATGTCTCTCTCATACATGACATTCCCGTCAAAGTCTTGGTTAATAAAATCACACTTAGAAACTGGCTTTATATCCTTTTATGAAGGAATTATATTCTTATTGGATTTATGTAAATATGTATGTTGCTATGGAACAATAATACTCACTCATTAAGAGTTTCCAAATTCCAGATGGATAAGATAGGGAGAAAAATGTAAATGCTTCAATATTGGTTATGAAAGTATAATTTACCAAATTACTTTAAGAAACAAGTTTCCTTATGTCTGAAAAACAAAAAGATTAAAAATCAGCAATACTTTCAACAACAAAAATTACAGAAACTATAATTATTTTCAGTTTACTCAGTCCCAAAATAAATTTTTGTTTCTACTGATTATTCTTACCAGAACTTCTATAAATCCTGATACTCTATAGAGCTCTAATAATTTTCATCGGGTTCAAAGGGGTTTATCTAAAAAATTTATTCTCAGTGTTATGTAATTTAAAATGTCAGAGTCCTTTTCATGGGTCTCTCAGGAGATGTGACATTTTTGAAAATGCATTATAACAAAACAGCGACTGTCTCTAAATGACAAGAAGAAATTTAAAATGACACAGATGATTGTGTGTGTGTGTGTGTGTCTGTGTGTGTGCAGGCAGACTTGTTGTAAAGTATAAAGCTAGCCTTGTAAAATGGGCTTAGAAACTTTTTGTTACTATGCTCTGATTGTACAGCCTAAGAATAATCTGTTTGCTAAAAGCCCAGTATAAATTGCCTTACATACCATCTTAAAACCGACTTTTCTTAGGGTAGATGATTGACTATTTTTTTTGCATCTTCTATAGGTATCAGTCTATAAATATCTTTTATATCTTCTTGAATCAACTTTGTAATTATATTTTACTACAAAAATATAACATTCTTTGTTTGCTTTAAAAAAATAAAATAAAGGTAAATTAAATTAATTTTAAAAATGACACATTTATGGATTTTATTGTAATGTAATTGACATAGAACTGTGTCCTTTCTGCAAAACACAATATTCCAGAGTAACAATTAGAGTTATAAATGAAAGTATATAAGAATTCATAGGCTCCTGGAGATTTTTATATAATCTCCAGAACATCCATTTTAATAATATGCACATATAAATAGAATATAGTTATTTTTTTCTTTATTTGACAAAGCTTCCCATGTACCTTAAGCAAAGGTTTTCCTTCATAAGAAAGGAAAACAAATCCATGACACATTCCAGGACCTGCTGAAATATCCTAAAGCCAATTCTACACCAAGAAAAAGTTTTTTAAAATTCAAACCCTGGGAAGGTTGTCAAGCATATCTGATCAAAAATTATATTATTATTATGAAAGAATATTAAATTATTTATTCATTCAAAGTGACCCCTTGGGGGAATATCGGACTGAGGGTTTCAGCCAAATCCCCACAGGCCTTCAGGGATTGGGCCTAAACCAGAAGTCCAATGCCACCTGCCGCTCCTGCCTGCTCCTCCTGCTCATCCTGGCATTGCTATGCCTGCTGCGGGCTCAAGCCCAGTCTGGCCCCCATTGGTCATCTGAGTGGTGCTCATGCCATGGGATTGCACTGACCACCAGGGGGCAGCTCCTGAGTTGAGCATCTGCCCCCTGGTGGTCAGCACATGTCATAGCAACCGATCAACCTGGCGTTTGGTTGCTTAGGCTTTTAGATAGATAGATAGATAGATAGATAGATAGATAGATAGATAGAGAAGATTACAGCTCTGTTTTCTTCTTGCAGCACATCCTCCAGTTTTCCAGGGTCAGTAAGAAAACTTCTTATCTATAGTTAGTAAGCTGAGTAATCATTCCACAACTGTGGTCCTCTTCTTATTGTGTGTCCTTCCCCCCTATCACCTGCAGTGGCGTTTGAACTAGATGAGTTGAGATTCCTTGTCATGTGAGAGTCTGTGGCCCCGCGTCCTGCAGGCCAGAGTCCTCTGGGTGAGGTGATGTCAAACTGCCCCACACTCAGGAGCTCTGTGAAGCAGAGCGGGCGGATTTTCATCTTTCAGGCAGGCTAAACAACTGTCTCTAAGTCATCCGTCCTGTCGGGTCTGGGAGCCAAGAGGATCTGGGTGTTAGCCTTTGACTGCAAGAGGCAGGAAAGAGGCTGCTGAGCTCAGAGTGGCCAGGCCTCAGTCCCAGCTTCCTGGTTTCCAGTTCAACAGTCCCGTCTTTCCTTAAACAGCAGGATCCCTGTTCCCTGTCTCGCCTCCCTGCCCGGCAGCCTGGGCATGCTCTTCCTGCTGGTGGAGAACTGACAGAGTAGGCAGGACCTGAGCAGTGCCAGGCTCCTCTCCCCTCTTCGTCCGCATTCCCTCCATTCACCCTAGATAAGCACTTGTCTATTCGACTCTCACACCTCAGGCCTGGGGGCCCACTATCTCCCTCGGCAGCCCTTTCTGCGGTGAGCTTGCCAGGATGTTCTCAAAGCTCCTCCTCACACGGGGCCTCCCCAATTTTGCAGTTCTGTGCCTGCACCCCGCAGACTACTGGCCCCCAGGGGTCC